TGTTGAGGACACCAGAACTGCACACAATACTCCAAGTGAGGTCTCACAAGAGCAGAATAGAGGGGCAGGATCACCTCCTTCGACCTGCTGGTCACACTCCTTTTGATGCAGCCCAGGATACGGTTGCTTTCTGGGCTGCAAGCGCACACTGAAGCTGGCTCATGTTCATTTTCTCATCAACCAACACCCCCAAGTCCTTCTCTGCAGGGCTGCTCTGAATCTCTTCTCTGCCCAACCTGCAGCTGTGCCTGGGATTGCTCCGACCCAGGTGTAGGACCAAATTTCCAATAAGGAAAGCCAAGTTTCTTACACAAAACTACTGTCTGATCTGAAGTACTCCCATTCCTCAAGATACTAATGAGATTTTTTTACATACCAGGTGGATGTACTGGAATCTCAGTTCTCACAGCTGCTGCAGCAGATAAATGCCACACGAGATTTTGAGAGTATACGATTGGCTCATGATCATTTCTTAAGTAATCTGTTGGCTCAGTCTTTCATCCTCCTAAAACCTGTAAGTAGGTCTTGATTCCACCTTTTTCTACAAATTCTCCAACTGCCCTAAGAAACATGCCTTTTGAACAGGAATAACAAACCATCTTTTTTTAAACAGATTGTTGATAGCCTCCTGCAGAGAAATACAGCATTTAGAAATAAAGCAGGTATAAACTAGAACAGATAATTGAATTGCAATATTTTAATTTACAGTTGCTGAAGGTGGATGCCTTCCTAGGCATTTTAAATCAAGATGTCCCATTATTCAGTTAACCTTAGTAACTGGACCTTTTGTTGCTCTATTTTTCTGACAAGTAATTTTATTAAAGAAGTTCCAAGCATAAAGCTGAGAACTGCATTCCCAAGGGGCTCATTCTGAAATGCATTAGATTAGGAAAAATTCCCTCTCTCTCACACTAGAATAAAAATAGTTGAGATGTTCCTGAGATGACTTTAAGGGTATTTTTTAATTGTTATTTTAGTAAAAATATGTTACAGTGGTGCTAGTACTTTTATTAAACGTGTAGTCTCACAAACACATTCCCAAATAAGGTTGTTATCAGTGAAACACAACAGTACCTGAGATCTTGTGTGGTTCATTTTGCTCTCAGGCTGTGGCATGAAGGTGGCAGAATACTCATTAATGAGTCTGGAACTTTGAAGCGTTCCAGTAGTTAGATCTGTGAGCCATTTGGGCTTTCTTACTCTCTTGAATGTAAGTTACCTTGATCAACTGATAAAAAGTTTTGTGAAAGTGAAACCAAAGCCTTGACCCACAGCTCTGGCTGTGCTTTGTTCTTGCTTCTCAATCCTGAAGCTGCAGTGAAGGCCTGTGGGCTGGATAGGGAAGCCAGTGTTCAATTCCTGTGTCTATATCTTATATAGACATATAAATCTTATTATAATCTTAGTGCTTATGCCATTGTTATCCTGGTAATGTCTGCAAAAGGTTGGGGTGGGAGGGGAAGATGCAGCATCATAAATAATCCTTCTCCATATAAAACCTTCCAAAAATGTTACAGGTGCTCTAACGTCTTCCTTACCGATTGGAAAATACGGTATCAGCAATAACTTAATTATGAATGCTGCGACTTTTCAGATACTAAGAACAGCTTTTTCTGGGTTTGACCTCTATTTAAACTTACATTACAACTTCTGTTGTACTTTTATCCCTTGCAGGTTTTCCACTGCTTAAATGAAATTCTGGATCTTTGTCATAGTTTTTGTTCTCTGGTCAGTCAGAATCTGGGCCCACTGGATGAACGGGGAGCTGCACAACTCAGTATTTTGGTGAAGGTGAATCTGTGGTTATCTGGACCTGTTCCTTCTGCCATGCAGACATTTGCCTAAGTAGTCATATTGGCTTTAACAGCTGTAGAACAGGACTGAGTTTAAGCTGAAACCTTTTATATGAGTACTTGCAATGATTTTAATTAATCAATGCTTAATTATACACAGAAAAAAATACACAGAAATTAACCTACTGGAATAGAAAAGGAGGTGGTTATCAGTTGGTGATTCTGCTCCTCCTTTTGGATACCTATCCGCTAATAATTATGGCGGCTGACAGCTTACCTTATACTGGAACACAGGCATCAATTCTCTTAGAGTGATACCTTTCTTCAGGATGTTAAAGGGTTGTTTAAGCAGGAACAGAAAGGAAAAGCTTGTTTCCTTTCTTGAGAGTGCCTGCCCAGAACTGACTTCTTCTCATTTGTAGGGATTCAGTCGTCAGTCATCACTTCTCTTCAAGATTCTCTCTAGTGTTCGGAACCATCAGATAAATTCTGACTTAGCTCAACTGCTGCTACGCTTGGATTATAACAAATACTACACCCAGGCTGGAGGAACATTGGGCAGGTACAGATATCTTCATGGTTGTCTGTGGCATTATCCTGAGGTACTCGAAGTACAAAGTGATCTAAATGATCATAAGTAATTTTTATTAATTGTGGAAGCTGAAATAATTAAGAGCAAAGTGTTGATAAACACTATGACAGAAAAGTAACAAACCAGCATGAGTTAACTTTTGGGTTTTTTATGCTTTCTCCCCATCAAGTTTGTTTTAGCATGAAGTTGAACTAGTTGCTAGTTCACACAGGTTGAAAAATGCTGATGTGGGTTGATAAAGAGAGTGCCTTGAATAATGTATTTTTAATATCTACCCTTCTCTTGCAGTTTTGGGGTTTAAGCACCAAGACCTTTTCTTCAGGCCGTGACCAATGCCATGTTAAGCAGTGGAAACTGACCTTGGAGAGCTTGCACTGAACTGAGTGTTAATCTGTGGCTGGCTCTTGCTGGTGAAGCCCTGTTTCAGAAGGAATTGGCAGGAAGTGCCACTTACTGTGAGGCTGCCCTGTGACTGCAGAAAGCTACTCCATGTTTTTCAAGGTACTAAAAACATGCTTTTTACAGCCCTGCATGTATGTATAAATGTTTCTAGGGAGGCAGTCTGTACCTCTTCAGAAAGTAAAAAAGCAACAAGAATTACTGTGTCTTGACTCTTCAGCTGGACTATGATCTTTTGCAAGCTGGAGTATGGAGGAAGTGGTCTGTTGTTCTTGACTTCTGAATAGAGCCATAGCTTCATTCATAGTTCCACTGCTTTACAGTACACAGTGTTTGCTAATAAAATACAGACTTGCAGGTAAATGAAACAACTGCACTAAAAGCCTGAGCGAAAGGGGGAGGAAAGCAGGGTTTTTAGGAATCTCTTCTCATACAGTGCATTGTTCTAGCCTATCTGTATAGGTAAAGGAGCCACTAGTGGTGTCACATGCTTTCTCTATAAAACATAATACATTTTGTGTGCTAACGTTATGCCCATCAAGACCAAAGTAGGAGCTTTGCCTTGTTTAAAACACAAGCCTCCCTCTGCTGGCATAAAAGAGCTCGAACTAAAACTGGGGAGAAACATTCAGGATGCCACCTCTAAATGCTACTAGCTACTGTCCTGCTGAACCAAAATAAAACCATCTTGTCATGCAATTATGAAGAATATTGTCAGTGTCTGCACCCAGGTGCAAAGGGCTTAGAGTGGCACAGCATTCTGTTCCATGAAAAGCAGCGTTTGGCAGGAACTTCTTGCATGTTACCAAGATTTCTTAGTCTTGCTAAAACAGACTATCTTGCAGTAAAAGTCCAGTTGGATGAATGGCAGAAGAGAGCCCTCCAGTCTGTCACTGGGGTGTTGTAGCAGCTTTCCCAGTTTGAACACAGAGGCTATCAGGAGACCACCCTTGCCCTCAAGGTGTTGGTTATTTTCACACTATATCTAAAGCTGCAGCTCTTGAGAAAGTTATGTGTGCCTGGGGAGAAAAAGGATGCTTTATGTACTCTCAGATACAGTAACAACAGCCAGCCAAATAGAATGCCTGTCATCTTCAGTACACTACAGCTGCCTGTGGCTGGACTGTGCCTGATGCAGAGTTTAAAATCCTGTGACTGTGGGAAAAAAGTTAGAAAACTAAGAAAGGGTTAAGTTTGGATGTGGGATTTACAGATCAACACAGTCAGAAGGTGACTGAGCTAGGAAATGATAAAGTAAAAAACACCTTAAGAAAAACTTACATTTTTGAAGCAGGGGACTGAAGACTCTGAAGGAAGCTGGATGGAGGCCTGGGTAAACATAAAAGGTTGTAAAGAGTGAAGAACTGTTGAACTCTTGCTTTTATCTTTATGCAGGTTGATCAAGATAAGTGCCTGGCTGTGAATGCAGCAGCTTAGAAGTAGACTTACTCCATTACCATATAAACAAAGCTACCCAGCACTTACTCTTTACACCTCAGCCTCCCAGCAGTTCAGTTGTCCTAGGTCCCTGTGTCTGCATCTCTTCTTAGGTAGTGCCAGTAGGCAGGTCAATACCTATATAGTCACAACAGTGAAAAAAAAAAAAAGGTAGCCAAAACAAAATACCCCTTTATCCTACAAGTTCTCACCAGGCACTCACAATTGGAGAATAATTAGGGTTAGAAAGACCTTAAGATCATCTAGTTCCAACCCCCTGCCTGTGCAGGGATGCCTCACACTAGACCATCTCTCCCAAGACTGGACAGTGCCAGGGATGGAGCAAGTCGCAACTTCAGCAACATATTGCTGAAATTAAAAATACCAGCAGCCAAGTGGAGGAGTACACATCGTGCTGTTCTTCCAAGAAACAAGTGCTGCTGCCCTGAGCTTGGTCATAAGGTATTCACTTCCTTAAATACAGGCTGCCAATTAAGAACACCCCTGTCCCTTCCTTTACAATTGATTTTGTATTAGCCTTTACTGGAAGCAGAGTATTAGAGCTATTCAGCCCAGAGAAATGTAAGCATTTCTTTGCCCGCCTTTAGAGGCACAGTCATAGAATCATAGAATAGTTAGGGTTGGAAAGGACCGCAAGATCATCAAGTTCCAATCCCCCTGCCATGGGCAGGGACACCTCCCACTAAACCATATCACCCAAGGCCTTGTCCAATAGTAAGTCCTGGAATAAGTTTATATAAATGAGGAGTCCCAGCAGCTACCACAAGAGATTGAACATTTATTTAATCATAAAAGTCCAGCAGATAAAACTATATACAGTAATCCATGCACACTGTCCAATTACACAAATATCTAAAACCCGATTAAAACACAGTCTGCACAACAGTGGGACAGCAAAGCAAAGCTTTTGTTTAGTGGGGGGCATAGTCATGTTTGTATTTTGGATGTTTGTTGTAGCCTACTCTCTCCCCAGCAATAAGGCTCTGGATCACCCACTCTTGGGAGACAACAGGCAGTCGTAAAGCTTCAGCACACTTCAAGACACCAGCTGGGCAGGAAAAATCAGTCACCACCACATCATAAACACCCAAAGGAATATCTGCACAGGAAGAAAGACAAGGATCTGTGAGGGAAAAAAAGGATCTTTGCTGCAGGAGATCAGTTTGTTTCACCACTGTGAAGCTCTTCCATGTCCTCTCATTCCTAGCCAGGGAATTCTCTTTTGTAAAAGTTAAGACATGCTCTACTTGTACATTCTATACTGCACCTTTCAAGTAAAAGATTCCCTCTAGTCCAGATAGAAATTTAACAGAAAACCAGTAGCCAACATGACAGGCAGGACTAGATACCACAAGTCCTGACCTCAGGCTGTGAGTACGATGGCCTACCTCCCATATGGAGATGGAGAGACAGCTGAAGTCAGAAGGATGAGGAAGCACAATTCTAGTGACCTACAGGAGGTCCAGGAGCAACCCTTGCCTCTTTTCCCCTTTCAACATAGGTTTGGAAGCTAAGGCTTGTGTCCTGAATTGTTGCACCATCTCCTTCTCTGGAAGGCATGTCTTCTAGATGTCACCTCCTAAATTATATTCAAGCAGAGAGGTAACATCTGCACTTTGCCTTCCTTTATGCTTAAAGGCCTTGTAAACCATCCCAAACGGTTTTAGACTATATTGGAGACATGGGATGGGATTCCATGGCATGGGATTCCTGACTTCTAGACCTAAGACACTGGCCAATGAGTACCTTTGTTGTGAGCATTTGAGTAATGCTGTTTAACAGATGCTGCTCCCCCTGTCATGAGAATTTCAGACCACAAATCCAGGAAGTTCTGCTGCTGGTCTGACACCAGGAGAACCTTCAGGTTATGGAATGGGTTTTCTCTTGGATGCCTGCAGAGTAAAGAAGAGATTTGCAGATTGCTAATAATATCCAGTAGCCTGAGACTTTATTTGAGGACCACAGTCTAATTCTTTTAGTTACCTGACTGGCTCCCACATGAATGGAAATTCTCTGAATATGGGAATTCTTCGGGTATCTTGCATACAATAAGCTGCTTTCTTACCACCCCCCTCCTGAAATACTTGGAACAATTATCCTCTGTTTATGGATAGTAAAACAGTGGACAATACTGGTGGGGTGTGTGTACAGCAGCCTAAATTCAAAATTAGGCTAAACTCCTCCTTATTCCTGAACCACTTTTATATGTATACCCAAAATGCCTCTGCTTTGACAGGGCTGAGTAGGCTGGCTTCGGTCTTCTGCCCAAAATCTCACAGAGATTTACAGATTGCTTTTGTCCACCCTTCACCTTGCCTAAAGAGTCTGACCTGACAACTGTTCTCAGAACAGACCTACTAGATTAGACTACAGAAAATGCAGAAGCTGGCTTCAAAATGGAAATTGCAGTAGTAGTGCTCCCTTTTACCTGTTTCTGAGCGATTGGTCAGCCAAGTGTGTGGAAAGCCTGGCCTGAATTCTGCCTTCCTCATGAGGGGACTGACATTTTTTCTTACTTCCCAGGAGACTTTTTTTGTGATAATGGCACACAAATGTACCTTGGCATTAGAGGTCACTGTAAATCCAAGGAAAGAGATGGAAGTGCTGTTCTTACATGAACAGAAGGCATGGGGAGCAGTACTAGGACCATCTTCAGTACTCTGATTAAATCCTCAGTCTGTGCACTCAGATCATGGTTATTTGGCACTTACCATTCCAGCAATTTTTGCTCCTGGAGGCTATAACCAGCTGGCAAAAGGTAATTTCGGTAATTCTGAAGCTGGTTAGCGTGACAGCTGTCATGGACCCAGATATGAGACACACAAGGGATCCCTCTGGCAAGGCACAACAAGTATTTCCGAGTTCGACAATGCTGATCCGCAATTAAAAGACACTGATACGCTGCGTTGCACTTCAGGGGAGATAGATAGAAAGACACGTCAGCAGGAGACAAGGCTTGCAAAAAAACCCAGAAGTCATCCTGCTGCTAAACACTTCAAAAGAGAACAATTAAACCCAATTTTCAGAGCCATATTATACGGAAGGTGAATTAGATAAACAGATTCTGAAATCAGGAGTACCTCTAATAGTCACCTACTCCAAGCTGTGCAGTTCACAGGCAAAAACTCTGCCTAGTAGTTTTGCTATCATAATTATGTCTTCCAGGTCAGAAGATTCACTGTTTAGTCTGACTCAGTAAGTCACTCGAGAAGACTTTGCATCCTCAGGCAAGATGCTCCAAAACCAATTTACCCTCTCTGTTAAAAATCTAAATTTAAAGTAAATGTGACAGTAAATGACATTAGTTGTCCAAGTAGGTCTGGTAAGTGAAGAATGAAGAGCCCTACCTCTAAGTATTCTGAGGCACAGACCTGTAGTACTGCATCCACTCCTATGTTCCACACAGTACAACAGAAACAAGACATACAGGAGCAGGCCCAGCTGGGAGCCGTTAAGGTATCTAGGCACTGGAGTATCTGACATACAAGAAGCAGCTGAAAGAGGTGAGCTATTTAAGCTCAAGAAAGGAAGGCTTAGGTGGTCTTATCAATGCATATTCATGACTCATAGGAGGATGTACAAAAGATGAAGCCAGACTGTTCTTGGTGTTACCCACTAAAAGGCAACAGGTACAAATTTAAATGCAGGAGATTCCTTCTGGTTTTTGGTGGTGGTTTTTTTTTGTTTGATTTGGTTTTTTAATTTGGGATAGTCAAACACGGGATGAATCTGCCCAGAGAGGCTGTGGAGTTTCCATCCCTGAGGACACTCAAAACCCACTGGACAAGGACCTAAGTAATCTGCTCTACCTGATTTTGCTTTCAACAGGGGGGGTGGACAAGATGAGCTGTCAGAATTTCATCCAATCTCAACTATTCTGTGACTACTGTTCTAGATCAGTAAGTGAACCCTTACCTGGGTTTCATTGAAGTCTTCCAGAATATAACCAGCTCCTGCTCGCAGCTGCTGTGCTATGTAATGTTTGTCATATGGAGTTATCTCTAAAAACTCTACAGCGGAAACAGAAAGTTAATTTTTTGGCTGTCATCTATCTGCTTATGTCCTTATACTCCTCAGTCCATTGAGCCTCATCCACTCCAGTGAAGGAGCCCAGCCTTCCTCCCAGGAATAATTAAAGAAAACCCTTTGAACAGTAAAATAAAAAAAAAAACCCTGCCACCCTCCAAAAGAAAACAAACAAGAAAAAACCCAACAACAACAAACCAGGGGGCAAAAAAAGCCAGTTGCCAGATAAGCCCTGCACCAGCAGCAAGCACCCAGGCTGCTGCCTTCATACTGCAGTTCATTGCATGAAACATGACCCCAGCAAAGGCAAAATGGAGCAAACCATCCTGTGTTTCTCAGCACTATCCGGTATCTCTCAAAACCTTCCTTCTCATGTTATACTGACACTGCCAATCTCACTAGTTTTCACATCTGTCTTAACTCGCTGAACAGCCCTAGGATCATCACCAAGGTCTGCCACATTTCAGGCTGTAAATTCTCTAAAACAAAGACTGAATCTTAGGTTCTTTCTGCAAAGGATTAAAGAACAAAAGGGTAAAACAAGCAATCACACAAATGCCTGATCAGAGAACATCCAGTGTTTTTCCTAAAGCCACAGCATTCCGCTTGGAAATGCAACGGATAAGATTAGCCTCACCTTCTTCCTCCTCGCTGCTCCCTGCAGGACCATCTGATGGCTTCTGGTGATTGACCAATTTGTCACTGGGTGTTGCCATGGTGAGCAGAAAGGCATAGCCCAAAAAGAGAGTCTTATTATGGGGCAAGGGTCCATGATGGTCCTCCAGTACTGGGGGATCTACAGCATCTACACCTTCACAGGTGCTTACAGATTCTCCAGTTCGCACAGCCCCTGCAGCGAGACAGAAGCACCATGAGTCTCAAAAGTCAGGTTCAGCACAAAGACCCTGGGTAAGATTTGGAATATGTTCAAGTTCAGTTATTTTACTGGATGAGACAGAGGGAGACAGGATTGGTAGGGCAGGTAGACATCTTTTACCCTTCTGGTTGCAAAGAATCTTCAAATCACAACCTGAATGAGTAAATTGACAATGTTTTCCAGTCTTTTGATACCCTGAAAAAACACCTATTGCTAGGAAGGGTTCCTTTAACAGCAAGGCATTTCAGGACTGACTAGACAGGTAACAAAAGAGAACAGAGAGGAGAAAGGCAAATCACAGCATTCAAGTCAGAACATTTCTAAAAGGCAGAACCGAAAATATGGCAGGAAAATACTCCGACTGTGCTGAAAATAATCTCTGCTAAACACATCCAGGGAGAATCAGTCTCAAATCCTGCACAGCAAACAGGCAATCTTTTTGTTTATGGAAACTGGAAAGATCAGTTACAGAAAAAACAGGGAGGGAAAAAATAGCTGAATGCAAATTTAAAAGCAGAAAATAAGATTCTCACCAAGCTTTATCACTGCTGACTTGCGGCCACGTTTAGCTGGGGATCTCTCATCTTCAGAAGCAATAAGTTTCCTTTTCCCAGACAGTGTGCCCGGTTGGATGCGTGGACTCTCCTGCACTTTACGAGTGGGAGTTGTGCTGCTGCTGGAAGTGCTGGGAGAACCAAGGTTACTACGTCGCTTCCGCTTCCCCTCCACGAGATTATCTGTGATACAGAACACAGAGATTGGTCACTGCCTGTCACGTAACTCCATGAGCTTTCACCTACCTATCTGTACAGAGAGGTGGCTAAACTCCACAGTACCTAGAAAGTACACACTACCACTCTCTGGCAGGGAAGAGCGAGACAAAAGGTACCTCACTTGCGTATCTCTCTTGTCAAGCCCAGTACCTTGCCTGTCTGTCTCTTTTCCTCTCAGTACTGCTGGAGAGTTTGTATTGTAGCAGCTATCCATCAAGTGTAAATGAGTACAGCATCACTGTCCTAGATGCAGGCCACTCTCCACAAGCCAGTTAATACCAGTAAGTCTCTCAGATAGATGCAAAACAATAAAAGTATCTCAGAGATGCCATTAAGAAGTACCCAGGGAGATTTAAACATTGGTAATTCAGGGTAGGAACTAGAAGCATCTCAAAGGCACAAGACGCAGAATAACAGCTCAGCCATCAGCTGAATAGCACCTCCCCTTACCGAGACTGATGTCAGCTGCTTTGTTCAGGGGGGTGACGGGTTCATAAGGTCCTAGTCCAAACTGCTCCCGTAGCTTATTTCCTTGTTCCAGAGACAGGATAACAGCCATTCGTTTGTACCACTTTCTCTGGCCTTCCTTTTCAATGCAATAGTATAGCTCTCCAGACTCCTTCCGATGTCCCTTTACCACACCTGGCAAGACAGCAAATAAGACCAGTTAACCAACTATCCCCAGGCTTTGCATCCTCCTGGACAAGCATCCGTTTCCCATTGCATCCAGCAACTCAGAAAAACCAAGGATGGAGGTCAAGCATTGCTCTTACCTGCACTAAAGTACTCATCCTCTGACAATGCAGTCACCTCAGTCTCCAGTGGGATAGGATCACAGAGTAAAATATCTTTTCCTAACACATCACATTCATATCCATCATCAAAGAGCAGCTTGTACTTTCCTGCCCCAACATCTTGGGTAATCATCCCGGAATAGAAGTACCCATTCGAGGACCACTTTGCTACCACCCTGAGTCCCACAAAGCTGCTCCCAGGAGATGAGTCTGTGCACTCCAAAGGACCAGTCACCACTTGTAACGGGATTTCTGGGGAATTACTTCGACGTAAGGCACAGAAGCCAGAAGTGTTGGGTTTCTCCCCTCCATCTGGCACGCGAACTGAACGAGTAAATGATTTGTCCTCAGGTGATGCTGTAGTTGAGAGATCCTCCATAGCTGGCAGTCCAGCTAAATCTCTGTAGAAAAGAGAAAAGCGGTCCCATAAGGAAAGAAGAGAATAGCACTCCCAGAAAGATCAGGAAAAACAGTTACTAAATAAAAAATACTTGGGCAAGATGCTTGCATCTGCTACATGCTGTCACAAAAACTAGCTCTTGAAACATTCAGCACTCCTTCTGTCACATTAAGTCACCCGCTCCGCATTCTCTTCCTTGGCAATAAATTAAAGTTGTTATGGCCTTTTTCCAGGGTACCTTGTTCCTGCTGTTCGAGATGGTGGGCGGCCTCTTCTTCCTCGCCCACGAGGTGTCACAGGTGCTTTGCCACCCTGACGAGTACCAGGCATAGATTCCTCCTCTTCCTCACAAGGTAGTGCTCCTGTCTGGCTAACTCTGAGTGAAGATGCTGGCTGACCAGCTCCTTTCCTAGGGCTAGAGAATTTATAAGTTAACTGATCTGCAGAAAGAAGCCAGCTCATTAGGATCCTCCCATTTTCTCTGATCTTACAACTGGTCAAGAAGCTTGCCTCATTATTGCTAAATTGACTAGAGTTTAGGCAAAGCTATGTTTCACAGGGAAACAAACTGCTCCTTCAGGAAGAACACATGTGAAAGTGAAGACTATTTCCTTGCTTCCATTCATCAAGGCAGATCCTCCCCAGAAAAGTCCTGGTTTAGGGTCTATCCTGTTTCACATTCCCCCCAAGCCAGCTGTTCACTTCTGTAAAATATCTGTTCTTCCTTCCCAAAGCTCTGCACATACCTTAATTTTCCTAAGACACCCCTGCCAACGGGTAAAGCAAACTCTCCAGTTCCTGTCCCACACGCTTTCCCTTTGGCAGCTCCAGTTCCTCGCCCTGAGCTGCTACTGCTGCTGTGTGTGGCAGAGTGACCACTGCTTGCTCCGCTGGATGTACGGTGGAGGCTTGAGGCCTTAGATGAGAAGGAGCTGACATCCCCAAGGTCTCCTGAGGTCAGTGATGAGCCCACTGCAGTTCTAGAGGAGGATGCATCAGTCTCACACTCCTGGCACTCCACTACAGGATCTTCAGTTTCCTTAAGAGAAAAAAACCCAAGGAGGTTCATCAGAAGTGACACACTTGCTATACAGAATCTCTACAATCACGAGGCAAAAGCAGACAAATGTAGACCATGTTCATGAAACTGAAGCTAGCCATGCACATTTGAGTCTGAACTGATCAATGGTAGACTGTGTGTCTCACTAAAGACCTGTAGCTGCTGTATGTAAAGAAGTAGGAAAACAGTCAACATGACAGAGCTTGGTTGATATCTAACTAGTCCAGCTTTGAATAATTCCCACCCTGCAAGAGTGTGAGAGTGCAATGTACATAAGACAGTAGCAGCCTTTCATAACTAATAATCAAAGATCAGTTTCAGACAGCTGGTCACTTGGAGCCTTTGAAGTTTTATGGAAATACAAACATGTATCTACAAAAGAGTGATACCAAATGTTGGCAGATAAGTTGGAAATGGTTACATGATTGTGATTACACAACCTATGTAAGCAAATTTCAGGAAACTTAATTCTCTATTTTAATGTTACAATAAGTAACTTAATGTGTAGTATCAGGTGTGAAAGTATAATCTTTTTACTAAACTGATTTACCCTCTTCTGTCATTACTTATTGTAACAACACAAGACTCATGTTATCCATCTTTATAGCAGCACAGCAGTAACATTTTCTTTTTAGCAGGCTAGTGTGATTACTGTGCACATCACATCAGCATTTGTCAGCTATCTTTAGAGATTCCATAAAGATTTGCCAGTTAATGAATGGACACACACCAACACCAGAAGTGCACTAACAAGAGGCTTGTGTATCTTTTGGATTTAAGTTGGTTTTTATAGACCTCTTACACAATCTAATCCACAGGACTTAAAAGTGCAGTTAGAAAGGACACTGAGCTGCAAAACAAGCTAAACTACCCTATGTAGTTCAATTTTACAGGCAGAAGTGATTTTGCTTACTAACAGAATTTCTGCTCATTCTGCTCTCTATCCTGACAAAACCCCAAGAATTTTAGAACAGCTGGATGCACATAGTAAAGTCTTCTGTTCAGTTCTTTGAGAAGAAAGAAAACTCAGTGTATCTTTAGAAAACAGTAATGGGCATGAAATACACGAGCAACAAACACGCAGCTTTGGCCATGCGCTAAATGTTCTTCATGAGCAAATGTGGACAAGTTTGTCATCACAGCGCTGACTTGTTCGCTCATTTTCTGCGGCCACAACACATTCTCATTTTAATTATTTTTTCAGTCAACAAAACATTACACTTAGCCCTGAAAACAGGAACTTACCTCAACTACCTTTCGTTCCACCTCTGCACCATTTATGTAGTAAACATCAGTTATAACCCGCGTTACGACAGTGCGTACTTCTCGAATAGTTCGCATGTGGCGATGCTGCACTCGGCCTTTGGGCGGATGAAGAAGATTAAACTCCTCCTCTCCCTGTAATAAACATAACAAATTAAAAAACAAACCAAAACCAGACCACAATGAAAAGCCCGTAATTTCTGGGTAGAACTATCTCTGCAGTATAGTTTCTTCATACCATATTCAAGTACCAAGATACAGAACCTTTCGGCATCTTGTTACAAATTAGATGCAATAACACAAGAAACCCCAAACAAGGGAGAACTGAGCACATTATCCTGACTTGCTGATGGACAGAGGAAGGGAATCAAAACAACCCAAGGAGGAAGCAGAAAACCTGCTTAGCATGGCTTCTGATACTCTTCCATTCAGTGGTCTCTCAGACATATCACATTGATGTTGCACTGTGTACTTACGGCCCTGTTGATCTCCTGTTTCCCAGAGGATGCACTATTCTTAACTCAAGTTTAGATATTTTTCTTTTATATAGTCTTTGTGTTCACAAGAAAATATACTCTGCAGTTCTAACTGCAAAGCAGGGTGCTTTTGGGAATGCAATACTTTCTGAAGTACTAATTCAAAGTTATTTATCTCGTTGGCACCTTTCTTTGGAGGAGCTCTCCCCTTGTGTATTTATCCACTGACACTGGATGGAGCGGGAGAGCAAGCTGTCCGAAGTTGGCTGGTGCAAAACAGAAAGCATCAAACCCTTCATTCAAAATTTCCTGCAACTCCCACCTCCATCCAACAAAAAGTGACCATTTTTTTTACAGTGTTAACTACATCTGGACACAACACCCATCTCCCCAAAAAAACAACCAACCAACCAAAACTTGTCATATTTTTCCAGAAAATAAATATGGAGGCATTTACTTCCCAAACTTCCGCTGCTCACTGAATATTGCCAGCTTAACAGTTGAGTACAGCTGATGCAAGACAGCCTGCAACATTAACATTTTAAAGTGGTCTTTTGGATTTTTTCAAGAGAACCTACTCTCAGTGAATTTACTGGCTGAAGGGATACTTAACTGTTCTAAGCAGTAAGTTTAAATACAGGCAGCCTTCATCCCACCTGACTGTGCAGAGAGTCTGTATCCTCTCCAGAGGCATTCAGAATCTTTTCCCCACTCTCCTCAGTTTGGACATTTGCATCTTGCTGTCCAGGTCTTTGCCCAGACATACTGGTTCCCACTTCCACCTGCCTATAGATTTCTTCTGATGTCTGGGTTGCTGCTGTAACAGTTGTTGGGGTAACAAGACAGTCCGCTGTAGTCTGAATCCCTTTATTCCTGGTATTTGCCCATCTCTCTTGGCTTTCATCAATTTTAACAGCTTTACTTGGTTTCTTCTGCATCCTCCTCTCTTCTTTTGTCTCAGTGCTTACAATACCAGTCTCCACAGATTCTCCACCCTCTGCATCAGAAGGGTGTTGATAGCAGTCCTGCTGCATCCTCTGAGAAATTTTTATCTGTCGAGCACTATCACCTCCTTTGTTTTGCTGGTACGGCCAACCACTTGAATTGTTTTGTAATTCAGCATCTTCTTGAGTGCCAGGAAAACTGAACAGATTCCCCCTGCAAACCATTCACACACAGACCAAAATTATGATTAAGAAAAGACAACCAATATGATGTCACTCTAAAAACATTAAAAAATACTCCAAACACCACCAAAGCCCGCAGTGCCCTGGCAGTCACTCAACTGCTTCTTAAGGTTGCACAGAACTCAGGGAGTCTCAAATTATAAAATAACCTTTCAGTACCTCTCAAGTGATTCGCATAGCAGCAAAAAGAATGGCTGACACCTGTAGAGAATTAGGTGCTTTCCCAAACACTAATAAAGCAATCTACACTCCACACTTCAGGCACCAACTATACAGCATGCTTCTGGGAGTCATGCCATCTTGAAGTTGCTACAGTCTGCTTCAGCACATCATTGGCTTGAAACTGGTAATTACACCTAGCAGGAAGAGGCAGGAGCATAAACAAAAATGCCATCTAATGTTTTCATTAGAATTTGTGTGCCCTATGTAGTGTTCTCAAGTACTATATGGAATGGTCTTCAGTATAACTGTTCAATGCTCTAGAAATAAAGGTTACTCCTTCCCTGTTGACCAAGATCTTAAAACAAAAAAAAAAAAAAAAAGGAATAGCTGGAATGGAAAAAAAAGATAGAATTCTATCAAAAGATAGAATGGAAAACACTGAAGAAGCAGATTTCTACACCTGGTCCTCCAGCCAGCACCCTTATCACTGTAAGATATGCAGCAATAAAGTGCTTTTCAAAGCAACTGGAAACAGCAAAACTTGGTGGACTTTTAAGTGAGACAATAGCAGGAACAGTAACAAACACCACAGGTCAGGATATCTTGGAACAAGAGAAAGAAAAGGCTTTTAGACAGCTCTAAATACGATTTCAGTTCTCTCAAGCCCCTGACTTTCCTGAAGCATATTAGCCAGCTGTAATCACAACACTGCTGAGTCAAAAGGGCCTGACTGCTATTTGAGATACAAACACAGTACTTATTATACTCACCCTGGTGTTCCCAACTTTCTAAATCACCCAAAGACAATGACTTAGTGCAATTTCTTTAATGTAGAAAATGCACTTGTGCATACAAATCCAGCCAGGACTGGCAGGCAAAGACTCTGAAGAGTTACCTAAATGGAGAAGTGGAAAAACCATGACTTCTGGCCTCATCCTCTCGACGAACTTCACAGACACGACTAAACACAGATGATGTTTTCTGGGAGCTAGCAGTGCAGATTTAAAACAGACAGAAAAAAACAAACAAAAAAAAAAAAATCAGGGAGTGAGAAAATCCCTTATGCAGCAAAATGAGAGTTCTCTAACCCCTAGGGAAAACAACCACTGGTAGCGAGCTTGTTGCCTTATAGAACCACAGAATGCACAAGATGGTAAGTCTCAAAAGGTCAAGTATAAGCACTTCTGTCACTTCTGCAGACACCTTAACAGCCAAGACCACTGTTACCAATTCCAGAAAATGCAGTGTGTAAAACTGCAACGCCATCAGGAGTTTCACCATCTACTATCTTTGGTACCCACCAGGGGACATAGACCATTTATGACTTACTCTCAGGATTTTCACAACACTGCAGAAATATTGAGAATGACAGTCATAAAGCAGATGGAGAGATCAAGTTCAACCTATACCTAATAAAGACAACCCATCCACAAACAGCAAGGAATGACAGCCACATCCTCAGCACTGAGGCATGACCAACGTCCAGCATGCAACCTTGTGAGAAGAGATACTGAGTTTATTTCAAAGTTTTCTCACTGCTTCAAACCAATGTACAGGTCACTGTCTTCTGACTCAGATTCTAATTAGCACTTACACCCCAAAAGCTAAAATCAAGCAATGCTAGGCATTAAATGTGAGATAAGATAGATATGTACAAATCAAAAGACCAAGGGAGTAACTTCTGTTTTGGGCAACATGTTAAACTGTGATTTTAGTTTATCAGTTATGTTTCTATCAGCTTCATAGCAAAGAGAATTCTTTTTCAGAACTCTTCAGAGATCCTTTGCAGAAAATTGCAGGAAATAAAGCAGAAAACCACATATTTGAAATTTAAGAGGTGCATAGGGCACACTTGCATTCCAGACTGCCCAAGACCTGAATTTCTGCTTTACCTACAATCAGGAGGCAAAATGCTGACATTAGTAGGAAGCACAAAGACTGTAGCGAAAGAGCAGGTGAAGCACTCACTTTGCCTATGTACTTCAAACCTACTGCAAGAGCTGAAGGGTTAACGGCACAGCTACTGCTCAAAGTATCCCTGCTTCTGTGCCTCTTGTTAATTTTTTTTCTCCCTGCTGCTGGCCACGAGTGGAAAAAAGGACCTACCCAGACCTTCGTATTAACTCTGCACAGCAACAAGCACAGTTACCTGGTAGCAGCCCCAGCAGCAGCAGAGGCTCCATTTTTCCCGTCACTGACTGCAGGCTCTGAAACAAGAAGGAAGGGAACGATGATTTTGGTGTCAGCTGAACAGACTCTCCTGCCCCTTTTCAGCCCTTCACACTCAGGCAAAGAGAGAGGTTGAGTAACACTGGACAAAGAGTGCCCAGGCCTCCCTGCCCAACTTCTCATCACCCGAGTTTCTACAAGTTTTAGACTATTAGACTGAATGTCACTGGCCTGATCAAAATGCTAACTTTGTTTGTCCAGATTGTACTTTTAGAATTTACTCCCTCCCAATATAATTGAACTCCAGTTCCTGTCCTGTGACATTGCCACTATACAATTTTTAGTCTGCTGAAAATACCTTTCCTCACAACAGAGGCCTCTCCTCTCACTCCATCCTTGCTTAGAGCATTGCAGAAACAGAGAAACAAATTTAAGTGACACTGCCCAAAAAGAAAAATGAAAAAAATTATAGACACTCAGACTGTTTGGGGGAATACCAAAAAGCAGTTTTGTGTTAAGGCTGAGATTAGTAGGACAGTATGTTTCAAGGTGTCATCATCTTACTTTCCAAGCTGAATGGCAGGGACTCCTCACTCCCATCATTCACAGGCGTAACAAGGTTCATTCGCAGTGAGAGTTTTGCATCAGCCTCAGGAACCACACAAGAATCTCCTTTGTCGCACATTTCTGACACATCTGTTGATACCACTGCACTTTCCACAGTGACATTGTTGGTCACCTCTGCTGTAACATCACTAGTTGCCATAGTGCTGTCTGGGCAACTATCATCCACTGCAAACAGGAAAACCAAAAAAAAGTAAACCAAAAAGCAGCTACTGTCATTTACATTGATGCTATTCAGTTCCCAGTTCTATTCTGAAGATACTTCATTGCATGTATCAGCAGTGGTGCAGTAGTGGGAATTTCCACCTAGAGTTCATAAGCGTGAAAGTTCTATAACACAGGTGTCATCCTTAGCATCCTTACCCAAGCATAAATACACATTTCCTTTCATCCAGCAAATGCAGTGTGTTGTTTCATGCAGGGTGTTGTTTCATGAACCTAGCAGAGAAAGTCCTGCTGAAAGATGATGAATACTAGGAACAATACTTCAGCCTAAGCTTCCTCACTATTTAGAGGGGTCTTCTGCATTCTTTATTGGAGCTGTATGCGAACATGAAATGAGTGCAAGAAATACATGTCCTATACCACCCCATACTCAGGGAGCAAACACCTTTGCTAGAGGCCAAGAATATAACAAGGAAAGTGTGAAGAAGGGATGAGCCCTCCCCAGAAAAAGTATGTTTTTTGCCAAGATAGGTTTGAGTTATCCCATCAGATCCTGCATCAAGAATTAAAAGCTTCCAAACAGGCTTTGCCTGGAGAACAGAGCAGGACAGGTCAAACTCACCAATTGGTGTGCTATGTCTTCTGGGTCCCATTTTAAGCTGGCCAATAAGCGGTGGCGTTATGCTGGTCAAGGGCTGAATGACATCACCCTCCTTTGGCAAAGTAAAATGAAACGGACTTCCTAAAAGACAGGGCATGCCAGGATTAGTAATTGCAGGGGCCTATTTTGGTTCAAATACCAAAAGCACAGGTTCGCCGTGCTGTGGAAATGGGGAAAAGCATAAGCTGGTGCTGCCCTGTACAAAGCTGCCCTCAACAGTTACTGGTTTTAGGACAGCTGCTCTAACTGATCTTCATGTTTTGTGTGGAAAATATCTCTCGGTGAAAACGTGGGCTGTAGTCAAGTTGGTGCAACTGTCCCCAGGTGCTAGATGAACATGCTCATGTATATCCTGACATAAACAGACTTTTGCAGAATGCAGCTTTGCTTCAAAAACGTTCAGGATGTTCCACAGAAAAGGGAGGTGAGGCCAGAAACGGAAATTATGGTTAGGACAGGACTGTATTGGCAGAGCTATGTATTGCCTGAATTAGTAATCTGAAACTTATAAAGAATGATGCTTTATTATCAAAAAGCCTTGGATAAAAAGTCAGCTTGCCACCTATGGGCCTAAATGTAGCAGTCAATAAAGGGTTAGAGGATGACAGCAGCAACTTGCCTAGAAAGTAACCTTTAAGAGAAGTAACAGATACTGCAGCTCCATAACGAGCTGCCAGCTGCCACCAGAAGCGCTGGCCCCATCCTCCTGTCCTCTCCAGTACTTCTGCTCTTGTGCAGTCTCCAACATAAAGGGTCTGCAGAGTCTATTGGGTGAAGTAGCCTATCCCATCAAGGAAACTATGCCTTTCCATCAAGGAAAAATGCTCCCTCCTTCTGCTCACCATATGCCACTTATTTGCAAACCTTCAACATCATATATTGGTAATTTGCATGCTGCATTCCTTTCAAATTGCACGTAAGTACTTAACAAAACTAACAGAATAACCCTTCCCTCCCACACTGAGGTCAAAACAGGTCTTCATCAGCTTTCTCACTATCCTTCCTTTTCCCTAAAACTGTGCTTGTTCTTTGAATTTCATTCAAGATATTTTTCAAATAATTCAAGTCACAATCTGCAGAACTCCTGAATTTTAAGAAGTGTGTATTAAAAACAAACAAAAAACACCCCCCCTCAAAAAAAAAAAAAAAAAACTACCCACAAAAAAAAAAAAAACAAAGCCACAAAGCAAACCCCAAACTAAACAGTATTGGAAAATTGTTACTTAAGGACATGAGAACACAAATTCAAGTCCTTAAATTTAAGAGCTAACACTAGACATTCAGATAACAACTTTCAGTTATAGCCAGATGCAGTGCAACATTCTTCAGTTACACAAGACACTGACGTGATTTACACAACTACCTTGTGGCACATGAAGCCAGAAATACATGACAAAGACATATTCCCCTCACAAGAATAAAACAAACCACTGAAAAGCTCTCTATTGTCCATCTGAAAACTTTGAAAGCCATCAGCTGCCACAGGTTTTAAAAATGCGATTCAGCAATTGCAACATCCTTGAGATTGACCTAAGGACTTCAGTGTACTTTTGCAGTGGGCGAGTATTTCATAGTGTAATGGTACTCACGCTCTGTGGGTACACCACATACCTAAAGGCCGACTACCATTCTCACAAACATCTTATGAATGCCTATCACATCATGACCTACAGCAGATCTCTACTTACCTTAAAAGTGCTTTATTTTAAAACTGCAGCCTTCAGAAACTCCACTAAATTTGGCTGATTCAGCTACCACAATCCCTTCTAGCCTACACATCCCATTTGGCAGGCTAATAACAAATGATCAAAAGAATTTATTAAATGATCAGCCTGCATTTTAAGAAGAGATAATCTAGTTGGGAAACCAACAGCTACTACTGGAGAAAGCAAACAAGCTTCACACTCAAAGAACCTGAAAAAATGTGTATGCCTTAAAGTTTAACTGCTTTCACATAGCTGCATCAACTGTTTTAACAATGAAAAAAGTGGATTCTCTCTACAAACTTATGTCCTTAAGACCATCATCCCTTGTGATGATGTCTTTTATCTTCCAGCGTCAAAAGACGCTGTCTTTTCAGCCCACTTTGTTTTCCTCAAGTTTGCTAATTCTAAGATATAAAAGATTTAATTTGCTTGGGCAAAAATTTCACAGGGAGAGTTGGAATTTTCTAGTACAGTGCAGATGGCAACTATAAAAATATTAAAACTTTTTATTTAACCTTGTATGCTTAAACTCTATCAGAACTATGTTAACAGAACTGCTTATCTGTTTCTTCTTTACTTTATATTACCAGTAAAGTTAACTTTTTGAATAAGGTTTTATACATACAAAATTGTACACTCTACAAGAAAGATTTCACAGACAACCACAACTTCTATATGCTCCCGAGTCCTAGAAAAAGACTTCAGTAAGTTTGTTTTCCATATCCCCATGTTCTATCATGTTCTAGCCTTTTAGCATTTTTAATAGAGTAACTAAACAGTTAACCTCTTATTCAAGGTAACTTTAAAAACAAAAAGAACCTCTCCAGCCTGTGCAGGTCCCTCTGGATCCCATCCCTTCCCTCCAGCGTGTCACTGCACCACACAGCTTGGTGTCATCAGCAAACTTGCTGAGTGTGCTCGATCCCACCATCCATGTTGCTGACAAAGACGTTAAAAGTGTGCAGTCCCCATGCCAACCCCTGAAGACCACTTGTCACTGCCCTCTGCTCAGACGTTGAGCAGTTGATCCCTACTCTGACTATAACCATTCAGCCAATTCCTTATCCACTGAATGGTCAATTTATCAAATTCATGCCTCTCCAGTTTAGAGACAGGGATGCCATGCAGGGAGGTGTTAAACGCTTTGCACAAGTCCAGGTAGATGACGCAGTCACTATTCCCCTATCCACCCATGCTGTGACTCCACTATAGAAGGCCACCAAATTTGCCAGGCACTATTTGCCCTTCATGAAGCCATGCTGGCTGTTCCCAATCACCCCCATATTGTCCATGTGCCTTAGCAAACAAAAACAACAACAAACCAGTGACATCACTTCAGCATGTTCGGAAACCGTAATTTTCTTGATGATGAAAGACAGACTTCTTCAGAAGTATCTGAACACTGCATTTTTGCCCTTATATCTCATCCATTTGCCATTGGGGGAACTTGAATACCAAGCTAGACTGATGCAGTATAACTGTTCTTCTGCCTGTTGTATTATCTCAGTTCAGAGAGACCGTGATTTTCAGTTATCATGAAGACACAATGACCTATTGCAAACCACTGAACAGGGAAGACTGAAGAAAACCCATCCTGACAACAAAAAAAAACCCCATGGAAAATGGCAACAGACTAATCTAACATTAATAAAGAAGCTCGTCTTCTTGGTCCACAGAGTACATCAAAGCCTGGTGATTCAGATTTTGTGTACCATCTCCAAAATCTGTCACTGAATCTTCCCTACTCCCCCCAGTTTGAAAAATATAGCATGATTCGATTGTACAACTTACAAACAGTATTCAAGGCTTTCCCCAAGTATCGTTATTTCCCTAATGATCAGACACATCTAAATACCACAAGAACTTAAATCTGAAATTGATGATGCAACTGTCTTGATTTACAAAACAAACTACCAAATTGCCTCCAGCGTGTTACTTGCTTAGCACAGACTACTGTTAGAGAACGCACTAAATTTAAATCATTGCATTTCTGGCCAGCTGAAACATTCTGCTTTCACACTCAACAACAAAGCAGTTTGTTATAACATTCTGAAAGAGATGGTCACTAGTTACGGTATGTCAAAGAACGCAAAACTAAAACAGCTCCCAAACATCTGACTGGTCCTATCACATTCCAAAGAATGGGTGCAAAAGTTACACCAATTAAATTGCTGTGATAGCTGGTATTAATATACTCAACAATACTGACTAATTCACATGACTACTATTGAGAAAATGGAGATTTTAAATCTAAACAAAGTATCAAAACTTTTACATGAATAACCATATACTTGACTCAAAATAAAGGAACTACAGCAGAAGTTGTTCTCAGATGTTAATGATATTAAATAGCTCTGGCCACAAGGATCCATACTCCATGTAAATAATCTGAGCTTTATTTTGTTTTGAAGTATGTCAACAGATACTTATAGCAAAATCTGCCTTGAAATCTGCTTTTGCTGGAAGCTCTCCAAAACCGATGACCTGCATAAGCATTCAAATCTCTTTTCCACATTTTGCTGTAATCTAACTCTTATAGCTATCAATATTTACCTGTCATTGTTATCTTACAATGTAATACCTCCATCCTATTTTTAGTGTCTAGACTTTCTTCAAAGCAGCCAGTTCCATGCTATTAAATGGCTATCTTTCTCAAAGAAAGATTTGTCTCCAAATTTGGTATTAGAAACACATTTAAGTATTACACTCAATCCCTTTTCATCCAAGTCTCCATCTAGCACTTCAAAGACATCTCACCTACTGCTGTTCAGACATAAAGAAGAAAGCTCTTCATCTTGCTCCTTTTTGAAATCTGCCATTCTGACCTTTCCAAACAGGATCACATGTTCCAGAAGTCAGCACGGTTCAAGGTCACAAGAACTGAAGAAAAGGGGAGGGAACCATATAAGAATGAGCTCAAAAGGTTTTCAGGAAGAAACAGCCAAAGCTGCTGTGAGTGGCAGAAAGGATCAGTTCATAACTGGAAAAATTAAACACGTAGTTCAGAAAACTGTAATAAAAAATACTGGACTCATGAGACTGATGAGAGAAGTTTTGAAGAAGTTTTGAAGACATGTACAGCTCTCAAAAAAACTCCAAACATAAATTGGCAGAGAAAATAAGAGAGGTGTCCCTCACTGATAAAGAACAGAAAATTATTCAGACCAATTATCAGCTGAGTACATAAAGAGAAAAAGACGACTATTAGGAAGTGTTTTTTTAAGCAGTACACCTTACACTGAAGTCTCAAAAGGAAAAAATAGAAAACATTACCATTTGAACAAAGCTCTGCAGAACACGCTATAGAGCTATGAACAATACCATGACCTTTGAGTGGTAAGAGAAATTCTATTTAGCCCACAGCTTTACCAGTCCCACAAATTAGAATCACAAAGTGGTCAATCTGAATCTATCAGATGGTTCACAAACATATTCCCTGCTAGATGTCTCATTTCACTCAAATATCACTATGCAATTCTACTGATCTTCCACTATGCTCTAACTGAAGGACTCAGATAATTCACAGAGCATAAACTACCTAGCGAATCAGTGGAAAGAGTTAAATAAACCTCTAATAACATACCAGTCTGTTCAGAGATGTAAAGACAACCATCACCTATTGATAACTAATGTTTTCAGACCCTTGACATTCATAATCACCGTCATCGTAAGAGGGGAAAAAACGCTTTCACTCTCTGAATCCTGCCATTTAACAAAAGATTACTTGCATATCAAAAGTGCATACAACTCAAGACAAAGCTCTAGTAAAACTCTGTTTTCTATTACTTTCTCATTTGAGCAGTACAGAACACTATGTTTTAAAATAAAGCCAACTAAGAGGTAAAAGCTCCAGAAAACTCAGATACAGCATCCCTTGTTTCTTGTAAAACGACACAACAGCATGTTAAAGGGATTTCAACACACCATGACAATACCTGCTGAGCCACAGGTATTTCACTCACAGCTTACGTGTGAGTGAAAGCCATTCTATTTTAGAGTAATATCAAGATAAGTATTAGTTTCTGGCTTGAAGCTGCTCTATACACCCCAAAAAAGAAAATTCACCTCTGAGGAAAAAAAAAAAACCCAACAAAACTAAGGACACCTACAAGAGGGCAAGAACAAAGGACCACATGGCCCTTCCCCTCCAAGGGCTGGAGGACGCTGCTGCTGCTGCTGGGGGGAGGCAATAAAAGTTAGAAAAATCTCAGAGCATTATCAAGGTCACAACATTGTGAGTTTTCAAAGTTGCTCTGCATTTCTCCCACAAACCAGTGAGGCATTGTTAGAACAAGAATTACTGTCCAATTCCTGCCTTCAGGAGTGTGAAAGAGGTGAAAAAGGTAAAGGCATGTAATGCATGTAACACAGTAACTTACAGTGCTGATCTTAAGAGAGGCTGTTGAACATGCATCCAAGATCAGTGCTCCCTGAAAACATGAGGACTGTACACAGCTGTCCTTGATGTTATTCAAAATATAAACCTGTGAACTACTAACCTAAATTCACTTACCACTGGAAGGACTGTGGGATTTAGCAGCTGCCTTCTCTTGTGGCTGCACCTGCTCTTCTTGCTCCAGATTCCTTCTCGTAAGTGTGTCCTCTGCATTCTCTGGCACCTGATTCTCCTGCTGAGTCACTAGCAGGTCATCCCCTCTCTCCTGAAGTAGTGGCTGACTCCCCGTCATTTGTCCTGATTCTGAACCACCTGGATGTTTCTTGGCACACACCACCATTTCTGATGGAACATCGTGCTTTAACTTAGGAAACAAATTGTTGTGCTGTTCCAGTAACTCCCCTACAGAAGGCTTAGATAAAACTTTATTGAACTTTGGCATGTTTTCTGAAGCAGTCTTGAAGGACAATTTATCCATGCTCTTTGCCTCTCCAGTGCCGAAAGTACAACCTTTTGAAGTTTCTTTTTCCCAGCTTTTTGGTCCAATCTTTTCTAATTCTTGGGCCTCAGCAGGCAAATTTTTGTTATTTTTACAGGAACTATCAGCAAATTCCACTTTCATATCTTCATGACACTGTACTTCCCTGTCAAGTATACACCTCTGAGAAAGCAGTATATTAACAAAGGACCCATCTTCATTTATTTGCTTCTCTTTTTCCTGCAGTTCTTCTTCTTGTTCTTCACACTGAGTCTCAGGAACTGCCTCATGTTCAGAAGTCTCCTGCAGTGGATAATCCTCAGACTGGGCTTCTCTACCCTGACTGTATGACAAAATCTTAGGCAGACCAGCCTGATCTGCAGCAGCCTGACTTCCAGAAACACACTCACTCTTCTGATGAGCTGTAGGGGCTAATGACCCATATCCTGCTACATCTGCACTAGCTAACTGCATTACAGGCTTTCTCGAGGTCTGTAAATCCTCCTCTTTCGCCTTTTCACAATTTTCAGAGAGGACTTGATCACCTGCATCCAGCCTCAGTTTTGTATCATCATTCTCCAAAGAAGAGAGTCTCAAGTCTGAGGCCCTGCATTCAGGAATCATCTCTACCTGTGTGGTTTTGCTGTCTTGGCTGGTGTTCAGAGAACCTGAACTGACATCTGTATCTGTGGGCTGGCTACATTCACTTGCAGAAAGCATCAGCTTACAGGACTCAGAAGGCTGAGATGCAGTGCCACTTGCAGACATCTTTGACAAAGCATCTGTGGGTCGAGAGAGATCTTCTGGTAAGCATAAAAGGGTTAAAGCAGCAGCTTTTTCTTCATGCTTCTTCTCTGGGCTCTGAGTTGGAACAAAGATATCCTAAAATGAAAAATGTGGGACATGGAGCACCAGGGCATCCCAAGTAGGAGTGTCTGTTATTCCTAGAACATTATACTGGATTATGGAGCAAAGCAAGCTCAGCACAAAATGACAGCTTCAAACAAACCAACCAACCCCACAACAATAACAACAAAAAACACCACAAAACTCCTCTCTCTCTCTCTCCCCCCCTCTTTATAGGAGACATAATTGCCCCATTCTTACTGAGAAAAATTATCACCACCCATTACTTTTTAGTACCTCTGTAGCAAAGTCAGACACAATCCTTGGTACACCTCTCACTACCAAATCACAAAGTACAGGTTAGGTATGGCAAATTAGTAGCTATATTTAGTCAACCAACCAACCAAGGGCTCTGGAAAGATTTTCTGGACGAATACTAGCAGGAAAGCCACTTTCAACCAAGAAGTCCTGCTTCAACTACAGAGGTCTCTAGTACAACCTTTTTTTTTCTGCCTTAAGTTGATCAAATTTGTAGTATGAAGCTATAAAGCCACCATCTGTTAAATCCATTTGAACACTAATAACTTCCAGAATTAAAAAAACAACACAAAAACCCACAAAGGAAAAAACAGATAATAAGAATAAGCAACTTGAACAACGCAGTACATGAATTATAGCCTTGTAAGAGAATACAAATGCTTTATTACAAAGCTGCTTCACTTTCTCCATGACAAATGATGCTAAGGCCTATCCTAGCAAAAGTCTAATTTAAGATGCAGTTTCAGATGAAGGATGCCCAGTTCAGCATCAGAAAGCTGCAGCCTTTTCAAAGAGAGGAGAAACAAAAAAAAAAAAAAAGCACAGAAAAGGTTTCTAGCATAGACTGAAAGACAATAAATTCTACATTCAGTAACTCATTGTGCCCTCTTAACCTCTTGCCCATTTTCTCTGCAGGATAAACTGACACACATTATGTGATTAACACATAACTGTGACTGGTGAGAACAGGGAAGGTCCTGAGAATCAGCTTAGTAGGGAAGCTCAACACAGAAGCACAGAGGCCAACCCAAACACACATCTGCAACAGCCACATAATAACCTCAGAAAAGATATCTACATGAACCCTTACATGAGAGAACTGTGGTTGCGATGGTATGGGTAAAGATCCTGGAAAAAAGGCTGGGGCACTCTGGGACACTGGAGTTGAAGCCTGTGGCAAGACAGGAGGTCCTGGTGGTATATATGGAATGGCCATCTCCGTTAGATTATCTCCTCTCTTCTTCTGCGTCACCTCCCTTCCTTCTGCAGGGCTAGATATATCCATCTGTTCATCTGATTTGAAAGAGCAGAAAGTACATTACTAACAAATTCCTGCATTATACCTAAAGTTTCTAGCATTCTATTAACAGATTTGTCTTCAGTGGCATATGCCACTTTCTCATATTTTAATGAGTGAATTTAAAATCTTCTCTCCGGGTGAATTCTTTGGGAGTGAGGGGACTTAAAAAAAAATAAAATAAAATAAAAGACAAACAAAACAAAATCAAAAAACACATCCATGTCCTTAAACCTAATGTGGGGAGAAAGTGTTTTCTTAAGAATTCATGTAACTATTTTGCTACTTGTCTAAAACTTCTATGATTAGAAAAAGGTATCTGAATTTTATAAGAAGCATTTCTCTGAGGTTTAGGACTCCCCCCCCACACATCTTTTGCTATTTTAATAAAAACGGTACCAAATTCAGAGCCTGGCTAACAAAACATCTATTCTAAAGGCATTTGACATTCTGTGACAGGAATCTCACAGAAAGGAATGGTGATTTTGTATCATACTAAAAGTCTGTGTTGATGGGTACCTTGTCCCTGATGGCAACCAGGTACTAGAGAAAATGTTTAAGAACCAAGGTATCCTATAGAACACCCCCTCTTCCGGCATGGCATTCTAGAATGCATACATATAACATATGAAAATTTTCAAAAATATTGTGCAGGTCATCCAAGTTAAGGTAAAATAACTTATGATGCAGTCCTCCTCTATCTTCTCTATTGCCCTAACAGTATATACTTAATACAGATATCTGCCTATAGCAAGAATGGCTTGTCCCTAAGAAAGGACAATTGCAAGCAGCAATATGCATCCCATACAAAGTATTTCCCATCTTTCAAGTGAAGGGGAGCTGGCCAACAGTACTAACTTTATTACAATTGCTCTGGAATAAATAGCAACAGCATGTTAGCATCTGAGTCACAAATACAGATCTCCATCACCTCTTTCAGTTTTCTCAAGCCTGCTTTACTCCTTAAACACAATTCTAGCAGGTTTTGAAAAGGCTGCATGTTCAAACTAAACCACAGAGCACAAAACACAGCCACAGACTAGTATGCAGAAAATTTTACCTTTTGTTTGCTCCTCTTCAGTAGGACTGCTGGGGACAAGAGCACTGGATCCAAAGGCAACAGGAGGAGGAATAACTAGACCTGAAAAGCCACTGCAGACCAAGAAAAGGGAACATGGAAGAGACCAGCATACATCACTAGAAAATGCATTAACTTTCCCCCAAATGTAGCTCCAGCTTGCCACAATAGCAGGTCAAAGGAGGTGATCCTGCCCCTCTACTCTGCTCTCGTGACACCTCACTTGCAGTACTGTGTACAGCTCTGGTGTCCTCAACATAAAAAGGACATGCAACTGTTGGAACAAGTCCAGAGGAGGGCCATGAGGATTATCAGGGGACTGGAGCACCTCCCGTATGAAGACAGGCTGAGGAAGTTGGGGCTGTTCAGCCTGGAGAAGACAAGGCTGCGTGGAGACCTCATAGCAGCTTTCCAGTATCTGAAGGGGGTCTATAAAGATGCTGGGGATGGACTGTTCATTAGGGACTGTAGTGACAGGACAAGGGGTAACGGGTGAAACAGGAGAAGTTTAGACTGGATATAAGGAGGAAATTCTTTCCTGTTAGGGTGCTGAGGCACTGGAATGGGTTGCCCAACGACGCTGTAAATGCTCCAACCCTGGCGGTGTTCAAGGTCAGGTTGGACAGAGCCTTGGGTGACATGGTTTAGTGTGAGGTGTCCCTGCCCACGGCAGGGGGGTTGGAACTAGATGATCTTAAGGTCCTTTCCAACCGTAACTGTTCTATGATTCTAAGAATAGCAGTCTTCTCATAAAAGGATGTGTTTACTAGCAGGGGATTTAAGAAATGGCATTGACCACATCATTATTTCATTTCATCACAAAATAAAGCAGACTTCTCTCATTAGTGCAAAATTAAAGCACTAATTGCTTAAAATCAAGAAGAAGTCCTTAAATGGTGGAAATGTACTACTAAAATTAAGCTATTGCAGTAGCTTAGGGATATTCTGCTTACGTGAAATGACCTTCCTGTACAAGGGAACCCTGTCCAGACAGCTGCAGAAGTTGCAGACTGTGGGCAGGAGTGCATGCCAGGGAACTTCCTTCTTCCACCCTGGTTATCGGGCAGCCACTCCCTACAGCAGTTGTGAACAAAAGGAATCAAGGTTAGAAATCTGGTCAATAACCAAGTCGATCAGAAAACTCTCGAGAACGATATTCACACTACTGCAAGGTTACTTCTCAGGTGGGCAAGGACAAGCTGATTTTCACACAGAGCTGGAGAAAGACTGCACATGATAGCTCAGTATGTGAAATGTGAACATAGTACAGTTAAGATGAAAAAGTTTGTACTCATAGAATAGATTTTTATCAGATGGGACAGTACAAGTCTTCCTACTTGAGAATTTTAAAATAAAACTCCCCAGTGGTTCCAATATCAGCACATTTGATCCAGCAGTAGAATACAAATACAGGCAAGGTTCCTACAAGAAAAGACACCTTGCACTGACCACTGACTCAGTGTGAGCAGGAGGTTACTGGGCCTTCTGGACACAGGTTTCATGCACAAGATCATACTGGTAGACACAGTTGGGACAAATTAAAAGCAAACAAAAAGCATGAAGTGAGACTTCATTTAGCTCATGCTTTATAAACTGTGACAAAGCTGCCCTTCAAAACTTCATTTTCTAGGCCTTTCACTATTGTTAAGAACCTTCATTAACTTTCAGATACTGAGACACAGACATTCTCCTAGCAAGACACAGAGTGACGACAGATCCTCTTACGCTATTCCATGTAATCTTTTCTCTTACAGGAACATTAAGAGAAGGAACAGTAACCTAGATGACAAATAAGGCTGACTAAAATTACAGTACAAAGATTCTGATTGCAGGATCCTGTCCTGTCCCAAAGAGGAAAGCCAGTTCAGGGAAGTACAGTGGAATGCTTTGCCAAAGTTATCCAGCATAAGAAAGTCTACAGCTTTTTCCTGAACTACTTACTACACTTAACATGGTGTCACTACAAAGGGCGAGCATTATTATTGCCAGTTTCAGAATAGGGTAAAATGGGTATTTTTTTTTTTTTGTTCTTCAGGGGGCACAGAAAGAAAGAAAATTAATGTATTAAACAAGCCAGTGTAACTGTTCTAACAAAAAATGACATTTAGACATTGCCCCATAGCACAGTGAAAGAGACTGTGGCATTTCATTTCCAAAGCAGTCTCAATTTTAGCAGAAATTATGTGAAAAATACTCACAGCACTCTGCACCCTAAAACATTGCATGCCTAAAAAGATCAAGTAGGGATGACGATTATAATGATCTCTGGGATGGACGTTTTGGCTCTGCTTGTCTATTGTTACCTGTTGCATTATTCTCAGGAAACATCTCTTCCTGACTTGACAAGATATTCAACTCCTGGTGACCAGAATCGAGGGATTTCTCAGTTTTAGTGGGGTCACAGACAGGCAGTTGTTTCCTGGTACGTTGTTCTGCTTCCTGCAGAGCTCTGGAAATGCAAGACACAGTCACTGACCTGAGAAATTCAACGTATGAATTAATACTGCAACACTGTAAGGAACATCTATCTGCACAGATAAAAGGTATTCACTCGTGTATGCTACAGAATCAAAAAACCAAACCCAAAAAAGATAAACAGGAAAACCGATCTCTTTCTCCTGACAAAATAACGTTAGATTTTCAGAATTGTTGTTTTTTGTTTTCTACCAACCTAAGTGATACTTAAATGGAACACAAGATTGTTCTGCTGACTTGCATTCAGTGTGCATTCTAGGAATTTTGTTTCACCTCCTTTTTAATATTTTGTGATGGAATATGATAATACAAGATGAGCTAAATACTACTCTATCTAGCATAAAAGATCTATAGAGAGTATTCAACAAACTAAAATGTCACATTTAAAAATAATTAAAACTATAAAGCTTACAATAGTAAATACTCAAAAGCATACAGGTATAGCCACCACTTAGCTTCTAAATTTCCCCTGTGAGGCCAAAGCCCATGCTGCAGTGATTAAGTTACCACTTAATGGCCCGGAAGAAATAACTTCTGTGACTTAAACTGAATTTTTATTTTTTATATAGTCCACTCATTTAACTTTAAGAAAATTATTAGTATATTTTATTATCCACTGCACTCTCCCTTAAAAATAAACCTATTGGTATCTTTGTGTGTCTCATCAGTACTTCATCTTTCCCTTCACTTTTCTCTTTTGCCTTGGAGCCTGAACCCTCTATATCTACAAACCTAGAGAGGAAAAGGAAAAAAAAAAGAACACAAATCAATTTCCAGAATGTCAGCAAGAGACCTACAAAGAACATGTACTGTTCTACCTTTCAGACTTCTCTGGCTGGCCTTCCAAAGCAGTACATACTTCTGTGCTGGAGAGAATTTCCGTGCTGTCCCTAGGCAGTTCTAGCAACAGCAATTAAAAACAAATTGTTACTTGGGTCACCTGGTTAATATACAAAGGGAAGTAAGTGCAGTTCTGTAAATTATACAAATATCAAGTCAAGCTTTACCGGGAAAAAAAAAATAATCTTTGAACTATCAATGACAGCAACAAAAACGACAGGATGAGGTTTTTAGCAGGGAGGGAATTCAGTATCAGATTATTTGAACATTCTGGAAACAAATTAGGAAAGAAAAGTGCAAAAATCAATGACAACACCTGGACAGCTAAATGAAAACAAATTAACTACTCCAAAGGTAAGAGAAGGCAAAATTCTTTTCTACTGTCAATGAAAACTACCAATACTGTTTTTCCTGTCAAAGAAACATAACATCTATAATGTACAGAAATAAGAAAGAATGGACAGAGCAACAAAAAGACATCTAAGATCATCTTCACATACCATCCGTAGCATCATTCTTTGCAAGTCCATCAGCTCCAAGGTGAAACTGATGCCTAGCATCTCCTTCACTGGGCATGAAGTCACTCTCAAAGTCCTGGCTCTGCGAGAGCTCTAAAGCTCCAAACTGCAGCTGTGAGATGCCTGTGTCTAACACCAAACATTCATAACTAACATATACACAAAACCAAAAAATAGAGCCATCTATCACTTTAAAAAGGCAAAAGATACTTTTCTTGTTAGAAAGTGTATTTAGGCTATTGCTGAAACTATGAATAAAGACTGATCTCAGCTGTACTAATTAAAAATACAGTAACAGAACAGGGACAGTGACCATTAACACAGAAACCACAGTTACTCAGCACAGTCTTACATAATGCTGCGAGGTACTGCAGCACATTTGGATTTCCTGATGGGAAAACAATCCTGGTAATACACAGCCTGTGCCTCAAAGCCCTTTGATGACAGCAACCATTATGCCGGTTCTTTAGTCTGCCATGAAAAAGACCGCATCTCCTAACAGCCACAATGCACCCATGCCTCTTCTAAGCCATTCCCAGTACCCAAGATCCTTCTTAAGAATGATATGAAATCACTGGGTTTGGTTGTTCGGTTTTTTTTTAAACATCAGCTTCCAGAAAACACGCCAATTTTCTGACCTATTGTTACAAGTGTAACTGTCCCCAGTCAGACTGGTGAAGCAGCTGAACTTAAAAACACAGGCGGCTGATGAGATTCACAGCCCCAAGAAGTTACCTTCTATACACGACGAAGTAGTACAATCCTCACCATCACCTCCACCGCCTCCAGCCTTTCCATCGGCACTGCAACAGACACACTCATTCGCATCGCTCCGGTGGGGGCCGCAGGCCGCCTTCCTACAGCCGCCCTCTGTCCCGCGGGGTCACTCCGCAGCTCCGCACCGGGCGCTCCCCAGCGCAGCCGTAGCCAGCGCCTAGCCCATGTTTAAGTCCGCCCACGGCGACCGGCAGCAGTTTTACAGGGAGAGAGACCCCGGAGGCGGCGGCCTCGCCCCGGGATGGCGGCCCCCGAACTCGCGCCCCCCACACCTGCGCTCCCCGCCGGGCGGCGGCACCTCCTCAGCGACGCGGCCTCGCGGTCCGGCGGCGCTCGGGCGCGCAGCGCTCTCCATGGGCTCTGCAAGCAGAGCGCCGTTAGCACGACTGCAGCCCCGAGGCGAGCCGCAGCCCCGAGCACAGCTCTTACCTGTGGGCCGCTCCCGGTCCGCCCCTCCAGCCGCAGGTGCCCGGCTGCCGGCACGACTGCGGACGATCTCCTGCAAAGCAGGCGCACGGATCACGTCTGAGCCACGCCAGGCCGGGCCGGGCCAGGCCGCGCCGCCCCGTCCCCCATCAAAACGCTCACCAGCACGGGGCTCGGGCTCCGCCGGGCCGGCAGCCGCCGAGCAAGCACACCGAGACAGGCCTGCTCCGCGTCCTTGGCGCCCTCAGGCTGCGAATCCTCCACGATCAGGCGGGGCGTGTCCTGCTGCGAGAAGCCGGGGTCCAGCTGGCTGCCGCCACCCTCCATACAAAGCGCCGCGAAATGCGGAACGCCCGCCAGAGCCCAGCCGCTGCCCTACGCCGCCCGCCCGCCTCCCTGCCCGGCCGTGCCGCCACACCGCGCCACGCTTCCCGCGGACGCCATCTTGGATGGCGCCGATTGGCGGTGCGCGATCCCCCCGCCCGCGCCGCCAGCGCCGTTACCAAGGAGACGCCGTCCCGGGCACCGCCAGGCGGGTCTGGCGCCGAAGGAGGCCGAGGCCTGGCTCCGCAAACGGCTTTTGCAAGTTCTCGCGTGTTTGGGTTTTTGTTGTCGGGGTTTTTTCACTTCTGCACCTCTCTGTATTTTATACGTGAGAATTCTGCAGATTTTATTTAAAAACCTGCTGGAGAGCCAAAACCACTGAAAACTGAAAAAAAAACCAAACCCTGATATCTGGCCTGGAAGAAACTGTTACTATGCAAAGTTACAGACACAAGGCTGTATGTTCTGAAACAGTAAACAGGACCTGCTACGTGAAAGACCCGTTTTGCACATGTATGTTAAGAACATGGAACAGTCTCTAAGTAGTTCCAATTCGCACACAGGAAGGATGCTTTAGTGGTTGGTCATTCAGCTCCCAGAGGATGCTCCTTTAGGACACGCTAAGCTGTTGCTGGAAAGTTCTCCTGGTACGCTAGTTTAAAAAATGCATGCAACTTCAGTTACTGCCTGAAATTTGCCCCAATGCCAAATAACACCACAAGGCATGTGATTACTAATCCTGCTCTTGGAAGATCAAGTTGCTCATAGGCTTTTGCTAGCCCTTAGGAGAAGACAGATTTCATGTTCACAAAATATTTTATTTCAGGGAACTGAAAGGAGATGGGATCATGATGGCACATTTGGCAGTCTACAATCCTCAAGTGTCACAGAAGCTTTAGGACAGGCTTCTGCACTTTGTTCAATTCCCTTCAAGCAGAATTCTGCTTCCATCAGAATGAAAGCATTTCAAATGGTCTTCCTTTATGTTCTCTCTCGAAATGAAATAAAATGTAATTGTTTGTTTTGGCAAAATAGAAAGTAAAGCTGTCTTGTAAGTACAAGTATAGCATGACCCCTCATTTTTTTTTAAGCAAGTTTACAGTACTCCACTACTGATCCTTGCTGGACTTACTAGCAGGTTTCCAAGCCTGCTACTGTCTTCCCCTTCAATGTCTAAGAATAAGTGCCTTATTGAAAGAACATGAAAACTATATGCTTCCTCACATCATCTTTTACACTCCTATCCTGCCGGCACCTTGTCTTCATTAGCTTCTAGCAAACACATGTTCTTCAATAGTGCATTAGAAAGGCCTGCATAAGCCAAGTCCTCCTTCAAACTCCAGATTTTTGTATGAAGGTGTTTCTATAATAGATTCAGTTAACTACTGACCAGGGGAAAAAAGACAAAATTATTGTGTTTACAACAACATGAGAAGTACATGCAAGTGGGCAGACATTTGCCATACATTAGGTATCTTTGGGGAGAAAATAAGAGAGCAGAAAAAACAAAGAATGGATTTTGAGGAGAAGATGTCAATAAACAGATAACTGTCAAATAGGATCTTGCAGGACAAAAGTTATGAAGAGAGCAGTTTCTTTTCTAAAGGCACAAGTGCAAGCTATCTTAACGCAAAGAAAATATAAGAAATTTTAACAGGAGAAGATGATTTGACTCTAGTATAACAAGAAAACAGAGGAAAGGAAACAAGAAATCCGAACTGTATCAGCTTTCTCAAAGGATCAGTATAAAAGAATGGTAGGACATACAAGGACAAAAATTAAAAAGGCCAGAGATATAAAGAGCAACGAGAAAATGATTTACAGGCATACTAGTAGGAAAGCAACAACTCTTAAGAATTGTTGGTCTGCTGACCTGAAGGAACATTACGGCATGGGTAATATCAAGAAGGAAAAAGCCTTTACTGTTTTTCTCTGAAAAGTTTAACAGAAAATGGGAACTAGCTCAGCTAAACAAAGGGCAAGATTTCAGTCTTGAAAAAGGGCTGAAACAAGTTAAGGAGTGCTCACCTAAGCCAGATGTTTTAAAAACTGTCGAGTCTAGACTTCTTCCAAACAAATGTTCCTGGAAGTGTGAACAGTTACCTTTCAAAACTCATGGAGGATAATTAGGTATCTGAAGACTAGAATTGGCAAATGTGCTAGCCACTCTTTCACAAAATTCCCATCAAATCCTCAAAAACTTTGACAACAAATAATCAAACAAATTACCAGTTTGTGTCTAGAAGGTAATGGAGAGGCAATAGCACCAAACACAGATCTCTAAAGACAAGGCGCATAGCATTGATCCGATTTCTTCTCCTGTCACAGCAACAGGCTTTATGGACAGAAGTGGCAGAATAGCAATTTCATTATAGTAAGACTTTTACTAGTATCTGTTTGAGGTTCTCATAAGCAAACAAGGGAAGCACAGCTATGATGAAATTTTGGTAAGATAAGTAGTAAAACTGTTGAATATCCATTCCCAGAAAGCAATAATCAGTTCTATATCTAAACAAGCATAGAACTGTTTGAGTGAGGGTCCAAACATCAATGGGCTATTCCTATTCTGTTCACCTTTTTTTCTCATCACCTTGGTCACAAAACAAGGAGTAAACCCACCAGCAATCTGAAACTGGTAGGACTGTAAGTAGTAGAAGAAAAATTAAATATCTTTGTCCGAAAAATTAACAAACTGCATTGAAGGCAAGAACAACATTCTCCAAAAGGAAGGAACTGACCACACAAGTTCAGGATGGGGCTGCTATGCTATGTGGCACTACTGTAAAATAAAGCAGCTTGGGGGAGTCATAGTGCCTGACAAACTAATCATGAGTTGGTGTCATACTACTGCTGCCATAGAAGAAGGTGCAAACAGCAAGCATTATACTTATGGACAGTATGCAGATGTTAGATGTGTACTCTACACTGACAGGGCCTAAGTTAAGTACTACATCTAGTGAAAAGATGGCAGAGAACTGGCTGTGCTAACAGTCATCAAATAGAAAAAAGACCATGGGAAATAATTTGGTTTTCACAGTCACAGTTTAGGGAACAAGTACTACAAATTCGTTTACATGAACTGCAAATAGGTTTAAAGTAACACAAAACAGAAATAAGCAAAATTAATTGAAAAGTAAAGCTAACGAAAAGCTGCCTCTGACATTCAAGACTTTTGAGTATTTTAAGTATTCACAAACAGGTATAGTTGATCTTGGTATGAAACAGGAAGTTGGACTAAATCATCTCCAGGATTGCCTTCCAGTCGCATTTTTCTACAATTCAATTTTGTTTCATGGACCTGCATAGGATGCAATTGAGAACTCAGTCCAGGCAGTCAAATTAGCAAAAGCCAAATGCTCATGTGAGCTTTAAAGCTGACTGCACTTTTTGTTAAATTCGTAATCTCATTTCACCCCATCTATTTTTACACTAGGAAGAAGCAGCCTGCCTTCTTTATAATATACAAATCCTTGATGTCAATATCTCCCCTCAGTCTGAATGCTGCCTTTTTCTGCCACTCTTACTGTAAATTACTAATAGGCTGTGGCCACCTTTATCTAAGAAAGAGGATAGAAGAGCAAAATCAATCTTTGCTTCCTTTCCCTTCAAGCAAAACCTGTGCAGCACCAGCATTTCAATAAAGAAAGGTGTGAAGGCTGATTTTTCATATTTGGAGTATTTTTCAGAATTTCTTGGATCTTACAGAATTTGCCATGGACAGTTGGAGCTGTATTTTGTTCTGAATACTCCTTGCCATTGTAGTCTACTAATTAGGATGGCAAAACCAAAACATGAGTCCTAGTACTCATTCTCATTTCTTCCACCATGAATCATTTTTTCTGTTTCTCACTGCAGTTCCAGGCCCCATCCTCAGATGGTGTTCATACGAAAAGCACCAAATTCCACATCCTAATTTCAAGTGAGAATTACATACGTAAACCAAGATACCTATCAAGATAGCTAAACTTAATAAAGGAGTAAGGATGCTACTTGTCTCTGAAAATCTAAGTTTTAGCACTGTTTAGTGAAGCTGCTAGCAACCTATACAGTTCAGACTGCAAAAAAATCTTAGTAATATTCCATTTGTGTTCATTTTTTTATGCTTGTGATTTGCCTGACTGTTCCATGTACTCATTCAGCTGGGCTTAGTTAGGAGGAAAGATGAAACAGGTAAGAATTCTGGCCACTTAGCATTTAGTATTCAATCGATTAAAAATCACCTTGGCTTCAAAGAAGGATTGCTGCATCAGCACGAATTAATACCTTTCCAGGTCTGATAAACATCTATTTTAATTTCTAAGCTCTGGTTCACTGGAAATGACACAATGAATATACATGTAATTTCGTAGGCACTTAGATCCTAGTCTTGATCAGAGCTGCAGTTGTTCCAAATTGCACAGGAGACACTTGGTATCTTGCAACACCTACGTGGAAGGAACAGGAGTACTCCTCTGATAAATCTCCCATGGGGTTAAAAAGAAGAAAAAGTGCATGTGGTTTGGTCAAACTGCAGGGCTTAGCCCTCTGTTTCTCTTTCTGTATCTCAGAACACATCCTGGAAATGACAGTATAAATGGCCACAGGGTTCCATCTCTACGTGGAAGCACCTTCAACACTCAATTCATCTGCTCCAAGCAAGGATAGCTATGTTCACCACAGGAGAGATCAAGGCCTGAACAAAGCACAAAGTCCATTTAGGCAGTCACCTATTTTCCCCTGCTTCTTAGAAGTGTAAAAGCCAAAATAACCTTATATTTTACCACTGTTAAACACATTATCCTCATTCAGATTCTGCCATAGATCTCTGGTTCTCAGAAGTATTTTTATTCATATAGGCATTTTTAGTTGGGGAAAGAAGGAAGTCATCATTCCAGGCTAAAAGGACTAGAAAACTGAAATTCTGTGGATTGTTCTTCCCATGATATTATGAAGACCCTTTTTATGATATTTTGAGCCTACTTTCTAAATCCATTTTTATAATGATTGTTTACCTGTGATGCATCATCCTTCACTGCTCAAAGGTAATCCTGTTTACTTTTGCCATCTCTCACTCTGTGATGTTTGTCAGAACCTCTAATTTCTGTAATCAGCCCAGTCAGGTTCT